TGATTGCTGGACATGGGCACCAGCGACCCCCGTGACCCAAAATGGAAAAAGCGGGTAGAAGATAATGGATGGATGGATTTAAAACAAAATATAAAAACATGCTACATTGTTTTATGCAGTAACAGAGTGTGTGTTGTGAATGACTCTCTGCTACTCCCACACCAAACTTTACCATAAACTTCTGTCAACCTGACCCAGTTGCAGCTGCTGTATTTTGGTGTTTCCCAAGGTAAGTCTGCTGTGGCGACCACCTTTAACTGGGTCAGCATCAAAATGTAATCAGTTGTAAACGTGTGTCCAGTGATTACTTTTTAAAAGTGTTCATAAAACTGAATGTGATGTATGAGATGTTTTAGTAAATGACAGGCAGAGTTGGCTCCACATAATCAATGGCAATCATTTGAAACCAAGATCTTTTCTGTTGGCGATCAAAATATGTGTTGGGGATCAACATCAGCTGCATTAAGGTTCAGGTCATGAACTACGTGTAAAATTAATTCAATTATAGCTGTTGTTGTATTTTGATGAGCAGTGAGAGATAAAGAGATACGAGCGTGTGCTAATGTTTCAGTTCCTCACAAGCTGCCAGCTGAAGTTCATGACATCAATGTTTGAAGGTTTCATGGGAGCGGAGGTGAGGAGCTCCATCATTGGAGGGAAGAACTCTGCGAAGGGCCAGTGGCCATGGATGGTGCATCTAAACATCACCACAGATGACGGCCTGCAGAAGTGGCGTTGTGGCGGCACCATCCTGAATAATTACTGGGTGCTCACGGCTGGACGCTGCTGGGACGAGTACGTTTCTGTTTGATCTTTACAAACTTTAACCTCCACAGAGCTGGGAACAACATTACAGTAGTTTTTAAATTGCCTGTGGTTTGTATATTTTCTTTCTTCATTTAATTTCAAACTGTCAAAATTTCAGCAAAACAAAAAAACATAAATAATAAGGTATTTCCACCGAAATATCCTATAAACAAAACAAAAATACTTGAAACGGGAGCAGGAAGAAGCAAAGGCTTATCCAGTCCTGTCCCTAACTTTACATCCAGATTCTAAATTCAATATATTTATTGAATTATGGGTATTTATGTATTATTGTATATATACATAAATACATAAATACTCATACATGCATATGTAATTGTAAACATGCAGACATGCATGCATACGTATACCTACACATACATTAATATATCTGCAGATCTCGTATCACCTACAGATTAAAGATTAATATGCAAACACACAGATTAACAAATTAACAGCTGGAATAATATCATTTTGTCTCATTTGTTTTTATACACATTCATTTTGTATTCCTTGTCTTTTCTCTTGAATTGTGCAATATTTTTACTTTGCTTATTCTCTTCATAGAGGTTCTAGAATTGTCCCGCTCAGGGTGGCTGCATGCTGAGAGTAGGTCTGTCACAATAAAAAATTTTGCTGGGCGATTAATTTTCTCAGAAATTATTGTGATAAACGATAATGTTGTTTGAAATTTAACAATAATTAATTGTCAAAATTTAGAAGAAATGTTGATTTGTTTGGTTGTAGTACCATTTTTGGCCACCTGACAGCAGTATAAGACTGTTTGAACCAAAGGATGGATACAACAAAGTCCATGCTCAATAATCCAGGTATACAATCCAACATTTTTCAGTCAGGTCATCTGGACAGTTTCTTTTTTTGTGCTGAAACATTTCGCCTTTGGTCCAGAAGGCTTCATCAGTCAAGGAAACACAAAACAAATCTGATTCTTCCCCCAACAGCTTACTCCAAAGTGGAACAAACCAGTTCTGCTTGTGATAAGATGGTCTCTTTGCTACGCCCCCTCCTCCATTGCCGGCCCTCTTCCTTGTTGACAGTCTTGTCTAACTGGTTGAAAACAAAGGATGGATAGTTGAAAAGCGTGGCTCTTTAAAAAAAACGAGAGGAAGGACCCTTGACTTGACATGGGTTGACATGGTGACATGGCGGATGCTCGGTGATCTGAGCTCTTTAGCATAGCGTTTTTTCACACAAAGCTTTTAATAAAAAATCAGTAAACAAGTTCTCAGCTTCTTTTTGCAGAGAAAAATAACAACGTTTTACACAAAGGCACATTCAACCGTGAATTTTGGAGCTTTGGAGGTTTATTCCCGAGGTAGACTTGTTAGCTTAGCTCGTAGCTTAGCTTCTCAGCTTAGCTGCTTTTAACGATCCAAAAATGCGATTTTGTATCGTTAGAACAGATTTTAAAAAGAAAGGGAGGGGTCAGTGAAGAGCACCAGAGTTGAGCTTCGTCTTCAGAAGAAAGAGAAAGACACAAAGAAATGATACAGCCGATAAATGAAAATGAGGTCGATAATTTTCATTCATCATGCGATTAATTGATTTATTGTTTATCACAGCACGCCTAGTTGAGAGTAGCTCTGTTACATTCATTCAGAGTTATTGTTTTTAAAAACTTTTATTCCTCTTTTTTTCTGGATGTAAATCTCTTTCTTCGGATGATTACTTCCTCTGGTATCGGTTCTGCACAGCTGGAAAGATTTTTACTGAAACTATTTTACTTTTGAGCATTTGTTATGATGCATAACCATGGCAACAAGGTGTTTGTTTTTAACAACCAGGAGCAGCTGATTAACATCTCCAAAGCTCAAATATCTCAACTACAGCCCCAAATTACAAATGAATTGAAAAGGAGGCACCGTAGATGAATTCCCGTCAACCAGGCAGCAGTGCTTAAGTACCTGACTGCTGAGATCCTGGAAATGGGAAACTCGGCTCGTGGCAACAAGAGGACCGAGATCATCTCCCAACACCTTCAGCTGTCTGTCTGTGGCGATGAGGAGCTCAGAAGGCTGCTGGGAGGAGTGACCATCGCTCAGGGAGGAATTCTGTCCGGCATCCGGGCAGTCCTGCTGCCCAGGAGGACCGAGAGGCCCGCTGGATCTGACAGCAAGCTGGATCCATGTGGACGGACCGGTATCTGTGGCTGCAGATTCTTCAGATTCGCTGCAGGAGATCCTTCCTGCC